CTCCACAGTTCAACCCTGAGCTACACATATTCGCCTCTATTGGCATTAGGCTGTTTTCACATGCGTGAGCATGAAAAGCCACTTCACTTTGCATATAATCAGGAGTCTGATAGCACTTTTTCTCAGTAACACAGTTTATGAAAAATCATACCTTTTATGCATAGAGGGACATCTGATGAAGTCAGCTACCACTCCCAACAACTTATGCCTTTTGACAAAATGTGTGAGTCAGAAATGGTCCTACTAAACTCCTGATGTTTGCCACCTTCAATGTTCATTTTGCATGAGAGTTTCAAAATATTTGCACAAGGTTAAACATTAAGGAAAGTAGAAGCAGTCTATATTTGCCCTTCCAAAGTTCTTCCACAATGCAGGGGATCTTTCTCTGTACCTCGAGTGGCAGAAGAACTGCAGAAACACAAAGAAATGGCATTGTCTGTTCCTACAGCTCTCGCCTATGGTGGGACCTTCCAGAACACACACCAGGAACATCTTTCTTCCTCCCTTTAATTTGGGGAGAAACAGAGATATGCCTTTTTCAAATTACAGCAACCTTACACTAGAACAATACTAATTTTTTTTTTAAAAAGCATCATTAGTAGTCCTGTTGGGCTTCCATCTCATGATAAAGGGGAAAACAAGTCATTTATACATTTTTTAAAAAATCAATAAATAATTAAACATGGCTTCTGGTATGAGTTGGCCTAAATGAAGACTCTGAATGTGTTCCACTACTTACTAATCAAGCTGAATCTTCATTTCCCCTTGATGAAGACAATCTCATGCATCCAGTTAAATGATACACTGTGCTTATGTAGCCGTGTTTTGATTAGGCACAGATTCATTTAATTAGCAGTTTGTTTGATCAATTAGAAAATGATCCCTAAAGTCACCTACTTACTTAGATCTGCTTTGAACAAGGATTTTAATCTTAGTGATGACTCCTAAAGAAATGAAGAGGAAAGAATATAATTAAACCATTAACGCTTCGGGGAGGGGAGAAGCACTAGCTAGGTATGAAGCAAGGAAAGCAAAATAGCCTTACTGACTAAATATATAGATTTCTAAATAAAGCAGAGGTTCAAATGGTTCATGGGGTTTGACCCTCTAAACTGAACTTCTATTATTAGGTATTCTTCCAATCAGTAATGAGCAACTGTGAAATTTTCACAATTGTGAGGCATTGATTTTCTTTCCTCTTAATGAAATTACGTGTGAAATTCCCATTGACTTCACCATTGGAGCAGAGTTAAATGAATACTGTATTTGAATGGTTTTGTAAATACATCCAACTCACATCTTAACTAGAAGACTAGAAAATTTATTCTTATAGCTTCTATGTTTCTCATGGACATTGGACTGGTTTCATCTTATAATCCAATTCATCAAGCAAAACTTTATTCTTGGCTCCAAATAATTTGAGCTTTTTAAAAAGATATCTCTTTTTTTTAATTAGGCATTGAGATAAAATAATTCTTCTTCTCTTCCCTGAAGATGTACCAAAGCTTATACTAGATGTCTGAAGCAATGCTGTCTTTTTTAAAAAAAAGAAGAAGAAGTATTGTATAAATATATAACTTTAGAAATATAAGAAATATAACTTTAGTAAACCCAGACATTTGTATCTTTTATTTGGTCCAATATGCATGAGGCTTTGCTCAGGGAGGGCATGAGGATTGTTGCTATGTACTTGCAGCAAATATCTCCTTTGGGTGCCAAAAAAGTGTGGGGCTAGTTGTCATGCTTAAGTTCTGTACTGCTTCCATTCTGTATGTAGTTAATGTCAAAGCACAGTCTATTCCAAGATCTGGTTTGCTGAAGCTTTTGGATGTTCCTACTGTGAAAAAGGAAGCCAAGGATGAAGACAGTGGTCCTTCGTTATTGTAATGTTCCACTTGTGGAATTATTATTATTTTTTTAAAAGTATTTTGCCCCCTTTTGAATGTTCTGATCATCACTACTAAAAGTTGTCAAAGCTTCACATGGGCCCTACTGATCTGTAACAGGAGTCTAAGTGAATAAATATCACAGGCATTTTGTTTATTTCATAAACAAGGTATCCACGTGCCAGTATGGAAAACCAGTCAAGTTCATTCAGTTCACTTAAAGGGAAACTAGGCCCATATTTGTTAAACAGAGCTGATCTGGGCTGGTCCTGACCTCTGAGAAATTGAATTTCTCAATCCACATTGCAAGGAAGATCTCACTTTTCAGATTCTAGAGAATACAATGTCTCATTCACAACTTGTACTAGGAATAGATTGAAAATTTATCCCAATTCTCACCTTTTGCTTTCACTTTCCTGCATTGCGGATAGCATTCAGTGGAAAAGACAGGCAAAACTTTAAATAATCCTAAATACTCTTTCATAGAACTTCACCTCTTCAGGATATTCATCTGGTACCTTTGCAGATGCATTTCCAGCATGGGATTTGAACTCATTTTCTCAACCTTTTGAACTTCATTTTCTCAACCTTAACATCCAAGGGGATTTTATTATCTGAGAATAACTTATTGATATTTGCTTTTTAAACTGTATGCTAATGTAGTCTTATTGCATTTTTGTTTACTTTTCAGAGGTTTTTTATTTGCCTTCCATGAAACACCAAGAAAATTCAATCAAATGTTAATATATAAATCCATCACACAAGTAAATGTTTGCCAAAAAAAAAAATCTATACAAATAAATAGTAAATACTATACAATTTGGTTTTCAAAGCAATGAATAGATAATACAGTTTATATTAAAATGCAATGAAAGTGTGTTATGTGGCATAGGATTTTAATCTCAGAATTATATGTGTTTTCTTTCATAGCATCTTTGAAGAGCTTCTACCCACTTGTCATCTTCTTTCTGTGTGATTTGAGTTATGGAGTTATTACTACGGCAGATGTAACAGGAAAACCGAGGTGTAGAAAGAATAAATCAACTGTTTCAGAGCTACGCAAAAATCTTGTTGCAAAACTAAAAAGGATTCACTTTAGAAGCAGAAGGAAATCATTTGTCACCGAACATTCCTTGTTGAGGTGTGTTCACACTCTTTTTGGTAGCATAGATGGGCAGCATATCTGGAATCACTTTTTCTTTCTTCCCCAACTTATTATGGCCTTGACACTCTGATACTACCTTCTTTCTTTTTCTTTTTTTTTTTTAAAGAGGCCAAATGTAATATTCCCTACTGTTTGCCTGCAGTGCTGGAGCATTTTATTAAGCTGGTATTTTTATTTTCCCTGAATGTGATATTGGCAGATTCTAGAAATCCCTTCCCACAGGCCATCTGCAAATAATGCTCTTTGCTGTCCCTGAAACCATGTCTCGAATAAACACTTCTTTGTCCTCCGGTGGGAATGGCTTCCTGTTACCAAGTTGAGACAGCAGATGCACTCAGATCAGAGACAGAATTAGAGTCATGAGAGGAAACATCATTTCAACTTTGAAACATTTTGACCTCAGGACAACTGTTTCGAGTGTTTTGATCATGCAACAAAACATCTTGGCTGGGAGAGAGCAAAGTAGAAATGAACAAAACAAAGAAACAGAGATGTTTCTAGAATTTTGTTTCAAGGTCAGATGCTGTTTTATTCCAAGTGTGAATTATTATTATTTTTTTCCCCCAAGAAGTGAGATTTCTGCTTCTGACTGTTCTGAGCACTGTGATTGGGCTGTTTTTTTCTGGCTTGGGATTGGATTGCTTTCCCTTCCTTCCATGTTTTTTTCCCCCAGTCGTAGCTAATAGAGCAGCAGAATACATTTTTGTGCCTGATGCCATTTGTTTAGATCAGTGTTGTCCAAACTTGGCCACTTTAAGATGAGTGAACTTCAACTCCCAGAATT